CCGTTCATCATCCGGTGCAGGGGTGATTTGCTCTGGTTGCGAATTGCTCACTGTAGTACACAATTGCACAGGCGAAGTATCCAATTTGGTATTTTGCACATTTTGCTGTGAAGAATCACAAAATTCCATAGTTGAAGGCTGTGTCGGCGGGAGCTCGCAAAGCGAGCGACCGTCCTCGTCCGCGTCCATACTCGATTCAGTTTTTCTCGGTGAACGACCTGAACCTTGAAAAAGTATAGTAAACCATAAAAATGTCGACTTTCGTGACAAACGCCGTGTGATATGGGCCTTAAAGACCGCTGAATGTTGGTAGTTTAAACCTGCTTTAGGTTCGAACCTAGGCTGCCTTGTTGGCTTTCGTTGTTTTCTTCACGTGTAACATGAACAGGACATCGGACATCGCTGGTGATTCATGAAGCATCAACCGCTAGGAATTTTGACCTCTAGTTGGCGTTGTGCTCTGAGGCCTTTGGCTAGAAATAGGAGAATAAGCGCTTTTGCGCAACTTAGATTAGTATCTAAGTTAAACAAACATGAAAATGTTATTCGCTATATGGAAAATGCAAAATAAAGTTGAAATATAATGAAGTAGATTATGTATCAAGAAATTGTATTCTTGCGATGAGGACTTAAAAATTATTTGCAAATTATTTGCGCTAACACTAGAATCATAAAATGCGTTGAGAGTAATAATATGGATTGGAGTGAGGTACAAACAAAGTTCCGCTTTGTCGGGAGCAAAGTCCATTTGCTTATTAAGTTCTATAAAAGTTGAATACGTAATAAATGAAAATGCAAAATGATGTAGAGAATTCAAAACTAGGTCCTGATGCTTTGCCAGTTGAATCACAGTTTTAGTCTAATAAATGTTGCTTTGATGGGATTTAGTAACTATGAGCATGAAGAAAAACGAGGTTATTGCACTTTTGGCCTGGATTGGCGAAGTTTAATATGCAGAGTCGTGATTAATGGTACGAGGACGTTTGAAGGAATGCGCAATTGTAGGATCATAGTTTGCGAGTTGAACGATAGGATGATGTTCTGAATTTTGTACATTTCTGAAGAAGTTATGCGAGGTCATCAATATATAACCTTAACCTTGGGCATGAGGAATTTTAAAATCCTGATGTATTTGTTGATTTCTGACAAACTTTTTCTCAGAAAGTCCTGCACGAATGCGTCCTTCTTCTTAAGCAGATATCCCTCGAGGCTTTGCCGTATTCCAATAACTTAACCTAACCCTAATCTATCAGCAAAGCGTGGTTTTTTTTTTTTTTTTTTTTTTCATTTAAAAACAAAAGAACACTTTATTTGAGTTGTGTCAGTATTATAGCCCATAAGCGATATACTCTATAAATATTCTATACTTAGAATCCAAAGTTTGATCAATCATCAAAATGGTTGCTCACTTCCAGTACTAGTCAGCTACTTTCGTCAAGACTAAATATGCAGTTTACCAGTGCTTTTCAAATTTCATGAAGAATCTAAAATGAATTTAAAAATTAAGCAAAGAGCTTTAGGAACTTGTAAAACTTGTTGAAATAATAATTTTTTTTTTGCAATAGATTTCATGGTTGGAAATAAAATGTAAAGGCTGTAAAGGGTGCCTCGGGACTTTTCAAGAATAAATACAAAACAATCTCAAGATCTCAGGCAATGTATCAATGTAAAACGATTGCTCAAAAAGCTGGTATGCGCTCCCAATTGAATCGGGGAAAGTACAGTATTTTCCTCCGAGTATCTTCCTAGAATTACTGTAGGATGTTCTAGAAGCCAGTCAGCGCCGTATATTTACAGTTACATGAAAGTAGAAATTTCTCTCGGTGCTGCAGCTAAATGCTATGTGTCTGATGTGTTCGAGAAAGACCGCTAATCATCGTTGTATTCTGAGGGTTTCTCTCTCTAGAAAATACTGTAATTATTTGTGAAACAATTTTTTTATCCTGTGTCTAATTCTTGCGTTTGTGTTCATTTTTTTAAATTCACTATCGTTACGCCTTCACGTTTCATTTTCCCTCACGAATTCTATGACAAAAAATTATCATTTCAATGTGTTCTGTCACATCTTAAAGTGCCACCAGATGAAATAGTGGTTAGTGACGCTGACTGCCATACTGAAGGGCCTGAACTTGAATCCCAGAGATGGCATGGATGTTTATGAATGTATAGTATTTTTGCAGCATGAGGGCATTCAAAATACCCGGCTAGCCGAAAGTCCTCTCGAATGGCTTGGTAGCAGGAGGAGAGGAATCGAAGACTCTCTGATTCGCCCCCCCCCCGAGGTGCTCTCCTTCAAAATGAGGAGGTGGAACTGCTAAAGCTCTAACTATCACCTGAAATATGATTTTAAAACACCCTATTGTAAAATTTGCAAGCAGTGGAAGAAACTGTAATAAAATTTCTGCCGGAATACAGAATTTCGCAGCCGAATCTCTGAAGGGAATAATGGGTAAATGCGTTTGGTAACAGACGGTGTTGCCCAGGTTTTCCTGTGTCGCTTCAGTTCCCTTAATGATTTTTCAAGTTAAAGCAGTTCTCTGTGTACGTGAGGAGAAGATCAGCGCAAAAATTTGAAGAAATATTTGGAGAAGAATGTAAGCGTTTTATTTTTTTCATAAATCACATAATCCTCCTCATTTAATAATTAAAGTTTGTATTTTAAATTACTAAAATGCATTTTATTTTCATACATCGATAATGTTTGCCGACTTACAATAAATATGAATGGTTTAAAAATGTTTCTAAAAAATGTCACGAAAGGCACAAGCTTTTGGCTGATAAGAAACTTTTACCTTTTCAGCTGTAAAAAAAAATCACCAAATTATGGCAAGATAGTTGCGTTAATACGCAAGTACGTACCTGCCTAACAAAGTGCTAGTAACTAAAGACAAACACGCCATGAGAGCATGACAAACGAGCCGCATCAGTCACTGAAATTTAAGCCTGCTAAATACTGGGATTTCGTCCAGGGTTCGATCGTAGGCGAGCGGCTGGTTCCTTGCTATTTCCGTATTTTTTTTTTTTTTTTTTTTTTTTTTCAATCTATGTGTTTATTCAATATGAGACTATTTTCCTTAGAAGGGTCTTCAAGGGACTTTCCTTTCTCTACGCACATAGCAAAGTTGTGCTTTTATCATATTCAGATAACGTATCCTAACCTAGCAGGTGTTGTATTAGTCAATTTCTCAGCTGTTTGGCTTGGTTAAACCGACCGCCAGAAGAGGATGCCTACTGTATTTATAAATTTATTTTAGACATTTATTTATTTTTTGAAAGTATTTAAAGAAACCTTCATGTATATATATGGGAATCGTGCCTCAACGAAGCACCAGATGCCGCTATCTATATCTACGGTTGGAACTCTCCAGGTAAACACATCTTCACTTGGTTCGACAAGCCGACAGAAGCGGTCTAACGAAACGCTTGCGAAGGAGCTACCAACTAGATGCGTACTGGTCGCGCGTAAGCGATCTGACCTGGACTTGACCTCACGTAGGTGGTCAGTTGTATCTTTTACCTCTCATACTGGAACCAGTGTTGTGATTCGTCTCATAAACATACTTAGTCCATCTGTACATACTCATCCCGTTTATCTTTTCTTCTGTGAACCAGGAATAAAACCTGATACTTTGAACAGTGGGTGTGATCTCTGTTTAATGATAAGACGTCACCCCCCACATATATCCATTAATATATTTAATTTAGTCTATGAGTAGGTGATGCTTATTCCAGTTAGCTAATTCGGAATAACTTGTAAATCTAATATTACACTTGAAAAAATTGATAAGAACAATTTTTAATCTCAAATACTGATTGTTCAAAGATCGAAGTGGTCAATAACTATTGAAAAGCACGTACTATCAAATTGTTTCTACATCCTTTCCATGAATTGAGTAAGGTATTCAGATTTTAATTACTGAATACGAGCATTTCATATATTTGATAAAATACTCACGTAAAATTTTCATGAGATTTGCGAAGCACTGATAAACTCTTTTATATTTCGGATCTATGATTTTTTTTTTTTTTTTTTTTTTTTTTTTTTTTTTGTTTGGTTTAAAATAAAAAAGGAAATGAACTTAGTAATAAACTTTCTGATTAAGCAAATTTTTGCTTAAAATCTTGTATGAAAATTTTCCTTTTCATATTTCACGATGGCTTATGATTAGAAATTTTACGCGGCAATAAATGTTAGCAGCTGAGTTTGAACCATAATTCTTCAGGATTTACTTCGCTCAACTAACTGTATAGAGATATTAAGATATTTTTTTGGAAACATAAGTAGTGAAAAATGAGCAATGCCGTCGCCGGGAATCGAACCTATATTTCTCGAATACGTGTCGGGTGTGCTAATGTTACACCACGAAGACTTGCAGAAAGGAGGGAGAATATACCTTATATACTCCCACTTTTAAAGAGAGACTGGGAATTAGGGGACCCAGTCGCCAAATCCTGAAGGTGAAAAATCATCATCCACCGCCTTTTAGTTCGGGCGCCACTGTAGATTTATTAGGATTTTTGAAGAAGCAGAAGATGTGAAAAATGAGCAATACGCCTAGCCGGGACTCGAACATGGACCTCTTGAATACGTGCCGAATGCGCTACCGTTACACCATGAAGGCATGCAGAAAGGAGATAGAAAATACCTTATAACTGATTGGTTAATTGTTCATGATAAAATATTTGAGGATAATTTGCTACAAAAAGCTTATCTTCTTAGATGACGCTTTAAGAGAAACTGCCTCATATTCACATACTTAAAATTTATATGTATAACCATCCATGAAGCCAATTGCAAAGGTATTATGTACGGTGCAATTAAAATTCCATGCAGACTTTTTTGGGTTAATTAAAGATTTTGTAAAAGAAGAGATTAAATTTCACTCTTTTTTAGACAGACACAATCATATATGCAATCTTAAATTATCTTGAAATGACGTTTGAATTCAAATATGCAATTAATTATTGAACTAAATGTTTTCTGTATTATCCTCTGATAGGTCTTTCATGTTAATTGGAGATGACGGCGTTTATTTTTCTCATGGTAAAGCTCCACTTCTTAGCTCGTTGCCTCCACCACAAATCCAAGGAAAATATCTCATAATCTCGAAACCTTCAGGGCTTGATTTGAAAGTTGAAATAAAAGATTCTCCAACACCAGGGGATAAACTTATTGAATGTCGGTAAGTATCCGTTTGCATTTACTGTTATTTAATAGAATAGTCAATAACTCTCCATGTAGCGCAAGTATTTCTCATCCTCTTCTCGAAGTTCAACTATAATTAATGGCAAAGCTTAAATTAAAAACATTTTACATTTTTTAAACTATTTGCATGGTATTAGATTAAGAAAGCGACTGGTATCATTAAGGATAAACAGTATAGTGCCTCAACATGTTTTTTATTAATTTAAAAAACTCATCTTGAAACGTTAAAAATGTTTAGTGAATTCTATTCAAATACTTTGACATTTCGGTATACTGACACAAGGTATCCGCCGAAAACATCACGAAAAAAAATTATCGAGGGAAAAATTATCGTTTAGAAAACAACGCAAATGGAAAATGTCATCGTATAAAACATCTTGGGAGGGGGAAAAACTGAAAAGGAAGAAGGAAACGTAAGCATTCCGAATCTGTAAATTTAGTAAACATTAATATTACATATAACAGTTAATGGAGTTTTAAGCTTATATTGGTAACTATTAAAAGTCATTGTTTAATTAACATTTTTTATAAAGACGTATTACCGCTGCCATTGGGAATATGGTACAAGATCAACAATACTTGTCTATGGATAAAGGATCGACACAATAGCTCCGAAATCGATTTCGATTCTGTGCCTTTGTCATTCTTCCACAGGTATCTTGAAAAATAATAACTGAATGAAGTTTTTATCCTTTTGATTGTGCAACCTTCTTAATTATAAGGACTGTCTATGTTACGGCAATGTCCCTTTGATAACTGTGCGAAGGTGTTAAATTTTCATTTAGTTCTCTTGCTTCCTGTTTCATCATTATCAACATCTCTTTTATATCGTGTTGGTCATATACGAGTAAGTAAATTTGTTTGCGCGATGGCGACAATTATACGCAGTGTTGATCCTGTTCCGTGCTGCTTCTATGCAATGTCGGTCCTATAAATGTAAGCCGCCGTCATCTCCTAAGTTTAGTTTCCATAACGTGATGTAAAAGAGTCTTGCATAACATTCACAATCCCGTGAAGAACTTCATTTTTAAGGCTAGATTTTTGAGTGTGAGGTAAAATCTGAGCATTCAAGTATGCTCATAAAAATATCTGCTGCAATAAGGTCCAGAAAACTGAATGAAAGCCATTGAATGTCACCAACCGAAGGAGAAATCGCTCAAGAAATGTTAATGAGAAAATGAGTAACATTTAATATCACACCTTGTATCGCTATAAGAGAAATGTAGAAGTGGGAAAGCCGGGCGCATTAAAAGACTATTTCTTTTCATGTCCCTTGAAGAACATCACAACGCAAAAGTTTCAATTCCCAAAGTATTTCACATCAAGTTCAAACAACGAAACCAACTCTCTTCTTTAATATCATGATTAGCGTTTTATTGTTAAGTGCAGACTCGTACACTGGAGGCAGATTCTAAAGACAACGTATGTTTGTAATGCATAGTGCCTCGTAGAGGGGTTAGTGGTTAGTGACACTCAGTGCCGTACCGAAGAGTCCAGATTCGAATTCCCAAGAACGCACTTTGCTTGTAAGTGTATGTTTTGTTTGTGTGAGAAAGCAGTAGTCAAAATACACGTCGAGCCAAAATCCTCTCGAGACGTTGATCGTAGGAGAAGATGGATGGGAGACACTCGGGCCACAGCCCGGGGTGTTCTCTCTCGGAATTAAAATTGGACTGGAAGCTCAACACTTAGCAAGACCCGGCGATACCTACTATGCTTACATGAATGACAGCTGCCGGCCTTGCTTAAACTTATAGCTGTAAATGCATAGTATCTTTTCGGTATGGCTGCTCTTAAAATAACTTCTAATGAAAAGGAAGAGATTCTCCTCTCTTGGGATGTTCTCTATTAAATGTCAGATTATTTGAATATGGCAAAACACACGATTGCTATATGCCTAAGATGAGGAATGTTTTCGTGCGTGACTTTGCAAAGGAAACTGGTTTGTATCCTGTTAAACACGCATGAGGAAAACTACGAAAACCAAACATATAGACCGTTCTCCTGGGTTCGAAACCAGGTCAAACTATTCAGCGACTTTAACCACTCGATCACTAGTTTGGCTGTTTTCCGTTAAAGCTGGGCTGGAAGTAAGGATACTCCTCTTGTCACATATAATGTTCCCAAGACTTTAGATAACGATATCATTCTCTTTTCTCTTGACTTTGATGAATTCGTGGACTAACCTGATCTCATTCAGATATGGAAGATTGGTAAAAGCAACAAAATCATTAAGTGTATATTTGTAAATAAGATAGTAACCCATACGAGAAATATTTCTGTAATTCCTTGTCTACGTGTATATGAATTTATAATGGTGCCTTAGCTAACCTGAGAAATAATTTTTTAATAACATAAACCAAACAAAGATTTTCTCTGCTAATTGTATATCACAATGAGCTGTATGTAAACTATACTAATGAAATGCAAAGCAAAAATAATCGACGAAGGAGATAATATGCTATGAGAAATAAGTCTTTGTCCGTCTTTAACTGGGGCATCAATTGGTGCAATGAGTTTATTCCGAAGATCTGTCAGGACATTCAAATAAACAATATGCGAAACTAAACAGTAAATTTTGCTTCAATATGTAAATATTTATCATAGCTTATAGAGACTGTCATGCAACACTACAGTTTAATACTATTCTATAACACTGTGAATTTTTCAGTAATGTTATCCAGAAAAATGTATTAGCTGCAGAAGTTTACCCATCCGATGTAACTCTGTAAATAAAATTCATGGAATGGCAGAGCGATGGCTCTTGCGGACCTAACGGAATAATTTTTCTGGATTAGAAGTAACGTGGAACATTACCTGTGTCAACTACTGTAAATCCCGAAGTCCTGTGTATTTATTCCTGTGTTATTTCTGTTGCCTTTCGAAGAAAAATAATTATTTGATTTATATTCCATGCAATAATTATATTCATTAACGAAATGAGCGATTTAATAGCCATAAAGAAATTCTTAATAATTTCAATCTTTTTTTTACTTCTAATAACTTTTCTTTGTTTTATCTAACTACTTAATACTTTTAATCTTTAATTTAATTCATTTAATCATAAATATTTTTTATGTTTATGAACAATTTCCATAACTATAGGAATTAATAAAGATGTTTTTTATATTACTTCGGCTTTACCTTGCTGCAGGATCTCCCTCCCCCAAGTTTAAGGTGATTTAATAAGAAGCTTCTTTTCAATGCTTCTATGTAAAAACAGAAAATCTATTTGTAGTACAAAACAGTAATGTTTTAGTTTGGAAACTGTTCTACATTAGAAACAGAATTTTATACACCCCGTACCAGTCGTTCATTGCGTGGTCTATGGAAAGAAAATAGTTCATGATAATTATTTAAAATTTTATTAATAGCTAAAATTAAACGCTGTTCCTTTTTCGTTTCAGAATTTTTGAGGATTCTGTTAAAGTAGTTGATTGTGGAGATGAAGCAGCAGCATGGTTCCAGGAATACCTGGAAACGCCTGGCGTCCGTCTGGTTCGTTATTTTCCCTCCCTTCCCCCAAGGAAATACCTAAAGCAAAACCCTTACGAGAGTCAATTAAAAGCAAAACATCCGGTAAGAATACCTCCGATGATACTATCCAAACTTCTTTGTAAAGAAAAGGCTTTGTTTACTTACCACATGATATTTGAAATGTACTTGAGACTTAGTTCCAATTTCAGATAGGATTGCAAAACAAGACTGCTATTCACCTGATGTCTCAGGCTTCCATTGATGATTTGAATTCGAGGATAGATGGAAGTAATAAGGTGTCTTTTCTCAATTTCAAGCCCAACATTTTAGTAGAAGAATGCGGAGCTTATGACGAAGTAAGATTATTTATTTTCTTAATTCTTAATAAAACGAATGATGTTGCCAGATATTATTAACAGATATATAATTTTTAAATAAAATACACTGACACTCTCTTAAATGTACATGAATGTGAAAGAGACTAAATATAAATTATGTTGATGACAAAATGTCAGAAAAACAACACGCCAAAGTATTAAATTGTAGAGTTCAGTAGATTCACTTTTATGTGAAAACTGCAAGAGGAATAACTTCGCAGAAAAAGGGTTAAAAGTATCCTTTATTAACTCTTTAAAATTTACAATGCGTCAACTAGAAGCTAACAAACTACTCCTCTTCTTGGGCGGTAACTGAAATCAGATAAGGAAACTAAAAATTTGAAGATACGTACAAGTGACAGAACTTGTACATATCTTCAAATACAGGACTGAACTAAATCCCGTTTCTTAAACCCGCGCCGAAACGAAAATATAAATATGTGATCAATAACGAATACTTTTCTTTTTACAAATAAGATTTTAAAGTTGTTCTTCCTTGCTTATCACTGTCATCATTATTAACAGCTTTGAAAACAGAAATAGCTGTTTTTATAACATCTAAAAACAAGCCTCCGTTTTGGTTTAGAAATATTGAATAAAAGTAGTATATAAAATATCGTAAACTCTACTTATATTATTTAGTACTTCAGCATAATTGTTTATATATTATTTATAACTTTATAGCTTGCCAAATAGGATACTACACTGTAGATTATATGTTACTGTTATTTTATGACACGATATTACAGAAGCTTCGATATTCGGTGTAGAGTGAATACCAATAATGAAAAAAAAAGAATTTATTTTGTTTGAAAATAATTATCCAAGTATTAGGATGTGTTTTAAGTTTTTATGCGCAATAGCAATTAAAAATGTGTAAAAATATTTTTTTTTATAAATTTTGACTGATAAAACTTGCAGTAAATGCAAACTGTAAATTATTACTATCAATTCTGTATCTACTTTCATCATCACATTCTCTAGAAGCTGAAGATTTACTTGATAAATATTTTGTTCAGGCAGTTGTGAACTCCTTTCGAAGCCTTGGACGAACAAAATTTAATTTTATAAAAGTTCCTTTTTTCTCATCAAAATGCACCAGTACTCTCTGAATGTCTAGTTCGAGGCAATACTTTCCCCAAATTAACAGGCAAAACAAATTCATTATCGACTGTCACTATAGATTCACAAGGAAATCTTACAATGAAAATGCAGTTTTCATGCAAAGCCTTAGGTTTCCATTCAGGCATAAATTTACGGAACTGGAAAATAGCTGAATCCAGAATATGTAAGCTGCTTGCCATCAAAACATGACAAATATAACACGATGAAGGAAGCATCCAAACGGCATGAAACATGCATCATGTGTATACCGAGATGGAATATGCAAATGATTACGGTTTCATGATACGTGCACATCATGGGTGACTGCAGCGCTTGTGAGATTTGCTGTGCATGCAAGCTTCAGTATGCTTCTTAGAAAACACGAGAGTCATTCAAGCAGGTTTCTGAGTTCGATCGAATTATAATCGTTGCATATAGAGATTGCCGATATTACTTCCAAGAAATTGATCATCTTGTCGGATGTAATCAAGCAACAGCCTTGCGAATATGGAATCTGTAGATGTAAAAAGGAACGACTGACGGACAGAAGCAACTGCAATCGGCTCGTCGCACCTCTCCACGGGGAGACAGGCATATTGTGCATATAACAGTGATGGAGCGCACTGCCGCATCCGCAACCATATCACAACAAATGCAATCTGTAATACAACAATCGGTGTACGCACGAAAATTTCAACGTTGTTTACAATACAATGGACTGCTAAGTTAAAGATAAGCGAAGCTATGGTCGCTAGGCGTTCATTGCTTCTTTTACCCTTAAATAATTTGCGTTTGCAGTGTTGCACTGAACAGCGGAGATGAATATCTAAATGGCACAACATCATGTTTTCAGACGGATCACACTTCTGCAGTACCACAATGGTCTGAAAGTTTGAAGATATCATGCAGAGAAGCTGCTCGACTGTTGTGTTATGGATCGTCTTATTGGTTCTGCACTCGATGTTATTTATGGTGTGGTGTCGTAGTGCATTCTGCTCCAGCACTCTCCTAGTACGAATTATCGTACATTTATCGGCCAGCGGTATATATCTCAGGTTTTATAGCGCGTTCTTTCTTACCTTCTGGCCTTGCCTGCGGCCTCATTTCAACAGGTCAGTGCGTGACCACACGTTACACGCAATGTTCAAACTTTTTTAGCCTACGAATTGCATTGCTACTCTGGTTTGTCCGTCCTTCAAACCTATCCCGTATAGAATATGTCTGGTAAATTACTGAACGGCTATCCCGGCATACTACACCCGCAGTATACGAGAAGAAAGGATGCAGCAGGTGCTGCCATTCCTCAACAACACATTCAAAACCTCTTTCACTCTATGCGGCGCTTGTTGACAAACGTAGAGGCAACACTCAGTATTGATTTTCTCGTCATTCTCACCTTAAGGAAGGCTGTCGTTCAAATTCATCAAAACTGATACTATGTGTAATCTCTGAAGTAAATTTGGCTCTGATATAGTCGCATTTTGTCCTTCTTCACGTTGCATTTTGGATGGCCTCTTAAAAGCTTGTGAGTGTTCTGAAAAATTTATGAGTTCCTTCGTCTTAGCTAAAATTTTATGCATTAATCAATATGTCAATATATTTATTACAGATTTCATTAAATGCTTCTCAACATTATTTGTTAAGACATAAATAACTTCAGATAATATTCAATTCAAAATGTTGTAGAAGTTTAGTAATATCCAACATGAAATAAGGCCTAGTTTTTGTATTACGGAGAGAGACATAATACTTTAAAATAAAAGAATTGGAGTATCGATTATATGACCTTTTTTCAATTAAAAATTTATAAAGGATAAAAAACTGGCATTTTTATATAAAAGATCTAATCTTGGAATGTTTTGAAGTTATGAATGGTACGGAACCATTTCTTGTACAAAAAATCCTACTTTGGAGATGAAACAAGTCCATATTTTCAGTATTTCGGTAATTATCTGTACAATAAGGAAAACAGCAACTATAAACTATTCTTCAGCAGATTATCAGTAATCACCAAATAAAATAATTGTCCTTTAAAAATATGCATGCACCATATAAAATATGACACTATAACTACAAGCTACTCATAAGGTAAATTTGTTATCCCTACTAGTTTCTTTGCTAGTGCCGTCACTCGCAGGAGAAGGAAGGCCTTATTCTTCCGGTGATGACGGTTTAAGTCTCTTGAGTAAGCTAACCTAATTACCAGTTAATTTCTGTTCTTGTGCACCAACGATGTTCGATGCGGACGAACATTGTCATCGATCAACAAAACCTCTAAACCATCTAACATGAAGATCAATACCTCTTTCACATAACTATGACTTGTTTTGGAACTTTCATTGAAGATATACAGTTCGATGCGGTAATTTTCTTCTGCTGAAACAGGATCTTTCATAAACAAGGGTAGGCAGATTTGGGATAAACAGGGGAAGTGTCTCACTCCCTCTGGATCAAAACTCGTTTAAAATCGCAGCTCAGAAGGTATATACCTATACCTTCTGATTCGTTGGTAAACAATAGATCCTATTTGCTATTTTATTTTCTGTGGTGCAGGCCATGGGAAGACCATTGGGTAACGTCACTTCTGTCAGGAGGGTCGTGCGTCTCCCCCCCCCACATCACTTCACCATGGTTCTATTTAATTTAGTTCCATTGAACATGACGACGACACTATCGTTACATGTCTCCGTTGGAAGAAGCCAGTAGAACACAAACCACTGATTTTTCTTCCATAATATCTGACCTCCTGAAGCCTCCATGCAAGAATAAGTAAAAACGATTGATTCGAATTCCTGTGATAGCCTGAAGATCTAAAACCAACTCTGTAATATCTTCATAGTTTCTTCTAACCGGCAATGACAGAAAACTTTCTTCATATTCAGGTGTTGTTCATGGCCGTCCTTAACCAAAATATCTGTTAAATGATTCCCTGCTTAAAAAGAGGTTCCAGGTTCTTGATTTGACACTCTGGGAGATATTCAAATCTTCTAGGACCTCTATTCATGTTTGCCCGTCCCTTCGAGTCTACCAATTCAGCTTCACTTTTGCCTTTCACTTAAACGATGCCACTGAGTCATCATTCTTAGAAACCACATAAATTTTAAACAAGTAATACAGTCAGAGTTCCAGTTCGTTCATTTCACGGTACGTTGACAATTGGCTAAGTTGGATATCTCTTGCGGTAACCCGTGCGCAGAAGTTCAGTTTTATGTTCAGTTGCAGATAATCAACATAATACCTACAATTGAATCATTGGGAATGGTTCAAAAATTTCGTCAGTGAGCATATTTTTAAAATTTACTTTAAATTTTGACGAGCAGTGGGTATTATTAATATTTTTAATTAGTTCTCTCATGCCATTATTTATAAAATGCACAGGTTCTTTCTTCTTCTTTTCATTTCTTTTAACTTCACGTTTTCTTGCAAATTTTTTTTAATAAAAGAAAAAAAAAAGAAAAAGGAAAGAAACGATTCTGTGTAAAAAATAAATCGGCTTAGAATCATCCTTTATGAATTTAAATAAAGCTGTGAATGCTCATAAAACTTATCAACCGTGCATGTTATGAGTTAGATGTCTTCAAAATTATAACAGTTAACCACATTATAAAAATAATATTTAAATAGGTAATTAACGCTTTTCAAAGAGAAGAAATAATACCTGCTAATGATATCTCGCGTTACTGTTGTATTCATTTGATATTATGCAAAAACCGATATATTTACTTAGTGATATTCTTTTAATGTTCTCAAAATGTTTCAAAGGACTCGTGGAAATACATGAAGTTTAATAGTGGAGTAGAACTCATGAACTGGGAACTTACTGCCAGGTAAATTATCCCACATTTTTACTTAACTAGATATGTGTCCTTTTATCTATTCTATGTTTCAAGTCCTTACCTGAATGATGAATTTATTTCACATGATAAAATTGAACGAAAGGGATTAATTTAATTTCTCTGAAAGCAAAATAATAAAATAATTTTAAATAAATAAAGGTTTCGAAGTCTCAAATATATTCTATAAGATATACGATTATAAAATTCCCACATAAGCTTCCATATTAATATTATTTATATGCTCGGAACCCATTTTTATTTCCTTGTACGAAGTAAAGGAAGATGTGCATGATATATACACATCAAAAGTAATACTTTTGATTTTGAGTTTGATTATAAAAGAAAGTTTTAATCTAAAACAATATATTTATTCATACACTTTTATTATTGTCTTCTTTTTTATATATTAATTTGCACAAATATCGACAGTTTTTATTGTTTTTACAATACTATGAGAGTGTCGGGGGATATTTTTTATAAAATAGGGATCTCGTTAATTTAGTTCTTAACAAATACCTTATATTAAGAAGAATTTCTTACACATTCTTATTTTAGAATGGTTTGTTTCCCTTGACAAGTCAATTAATCTGCGATCAATGACAATAACTACTTTTACAGTATTTTGGATTTAATATTTGGACTTTCTACTGTTAAAGGATTTTTCTATACAGATTTTAAATAATTTTTACTACAGTAGAAATTTAGATAACTTTAGATACTGACTTGAAAAGCTACTTAAAATATCCCAAATAAAATACCCAAATAAAATACTTACTAAAGTTTTGCTAATAATTCATAGCTTTAATTAAATTTCTTTTTCTTGGGGATGATATATAGATACTTTTTCTAATAATAAATTATTGAGCAGCTTTAACGAAAGTTTTTGGCTTTTTAAATTACTCATAATTATTTTTACTGATATATATGTTAAAAATATTTATGTGTTCTTATATGTAAAATAGATGTAAAATATATAAATATGTAAAATATAAGAACGGCTTTGCTCTATGCGAACCAGCAGCGTTTAATTAACTTTCTGTAATTCAGGATCTTCCCCCTAGAACAGTACTTTCCAGAACATTCGAGCTTATTACGTAACCGCTTCTATAAATTCTGTAACAGATAATGCCATTTTACGTCAGAAGTTAATCTCTCCCTCTGATAGTAAGATCTATGCTGCTGCGCTTCTCATGTTCTCTTTGTTAGGACAGTTATGACTTCAAAAGCCTAGATTTTTATCGTATTCAGTTTAAAACACTATTTGATATGTAATTTGAACAAATTAATATAAAAGAATAATAATCTACCGTTCATATGGAATAAAGATGTGCAATTAAAAGCTAAATCCTTCTGTGTCATCATTGGATGCCGCCTCAACACTAAGCCACAGCAATACCCGAACTGTGATGCCAAGCTTCTTCATTCATGCCCACTACTACTAAAATATCACAGATAATTAATTAGCCGGAAGGATTTTATTCTACGTGGGAAGTCTCCTGGATTTATTTCTAATGCGCTTATAAATTCAGAAGTGGGTCAAGGACATTGCAATTCATCTGCAGACAGAATTTCCCTGCGCTTTGCTTTTCGTCGGCGACGAAAATGAAGGGTCTTTCCAGTGTGCCGTGATATGCGTTATGTGTAAAGTCATTAATGAAAAATGTTTCAGCAAAGTGTATCGTGATTCAGATTAATATTTTGGTACAATGTGAAAAATGTTTAGTGATGATTTCATATTCAAGATTTGGTGCTTCAAAATTGAATTTTGTGTAAACTGATTATTGGTGCTTAAATTATAATACAAGAGCTAAAGCCGCGATGTCAACAAATACGCAAGAATCAATAGCCATTATCGACGCAACTAAAATTCAATTTCCTATTTTTGATGGGTCTAAAAGCGATATTCCTACTGATAAATACATTTTGCTGCTTGAACAAAACTGTAGTGCCAAAAATATTCAAGATAAAGATAGAAACCTTTTTTTTTTTTTTTTTTCTGAATGCCTGCGAGGAGAAGCACTTGCATACTTCTTTCGCGAGTGTTTAGACAAAGATTGGGTAGCAGTGAAAGAAAAATTTCAAGCTTACTTTTCCAGTGCAGAGGCAGTGACATTTAATGACTTTGTATCAGTCACCTATGAAAAATTTAATAATATTGACCTCTATTTTCGTAATAAGTTACGATATGGATCCAGTTTGAAGTTAAATGAATCTACAATGGTTGAAGCCCTGAACCAAGGTCTTCCGGAAGCCCACCGCATGTTACTTTGTGTTCAAGGGAAAAAAAACTCCCAAAAGTGGATAGACATCGCGAGAAAACTTTTCCCAATTTCAGTTCCACTGGACGGAGTCGAAAGTGCAAGCAGTGATTATAGATTTGTTGCTGCGAGGCAAACTCTACCCAGATATTCTACTAGTCCATTTCAAGCAGATCAATATAGTCCTCGACCTTCTCAATATCCGTACAGGCCGCTTAGTTATCCACAAGTTCCTTCGTTAAATTACTATAATACAGTGAAAAAAAATGAACAGAAAAAATGATTTTATTTTAAAGTTAATGTCCGAATTGAACAAAAACAATTTCCCAGTATCATAGATTCTGGATCTCAGGTAAACATTTTACCTTATAATATTTTTAAGGGTATTGATAAAGAATTTGATGAAATCGAAAATAAATCTAATAGCAAATTATTTTCTCTATCTAATCTGATTCATGTAGAAAAAGTTATTAAAATATCATGTAAAATAGGTAAACTCACTAATGATGTAATATTTTATGTGGTAAATTCTAATTTAAATTATTTATTATTATCCTCATGTTGTGTTTCATTGTTCAAATTACAATTGAATTTTCATAATTATCAAGTTTATAAGTTTATTAGGCAGGTAAGTAAAAATGATAAATAAGTTTTTTCAGAATAATTTTGTAAGTAAAAATTATTGCACTCTGAAATCACTCATCCTAGACAAAGAACCTTTATGCCACCTTATCACTCTATCTACGTTCTAAGCTATGTGCGTGCTGCATAATCAGTATTTTCTACATTTCTGCGTCTCAATGTTCCTACATCAGTACTTCTCTAAATTTGTTTTTATTACACACACACACACACACACACACACACACATATATATATAACAAAGTTTACAACAACATTTTAGTTACAGCATTTGTAACAAACCTCAAATTAATATTCAACTTTTATATTTAATAGATAGTGAATGTGTAGCACAATCCTCAATGCCTTATATGTGTTTTTCAGGTGCCTTCAGACCACAATCAATCCTGATACAGGAGTATTAACTTCTAAAGAACCTTTGGTCACCTTAAGAAAGTACGTTGTTAAGCATCTGTAATTTTGATGGTTAAAGATAGGTTTAGAAAAAGCTTTTTCAATGTATCCTTTTTCCCTAGGTATAGGATTCCAAAAGATCCCGAAGTAGTGGAGAAAATAGGGGCAAGGCCTTGTCTTGGAATACGTTGTATCGTTCTTAAATCTGGCAATATTTGTTTAAATGAAGATATTCTCGGTGTAGTTAGTAAGAAGCCGCTGATGAAGCAATGAGGAAAGATGGCTATACTTTTCCTAAACAAAAATGTGAACCATACTATTTTAAATACGAGATATTTAAGAAATGTTTGCTAATGTGTTAAATAATTTACTAGTATAACTTAATTTAAATTATTTGATACTGTAAAATATCTTTAAGTAATAGCTATTTTTTAAATATGAAATGTTTCAAAAATGATCGAAACAAATTTTAAAAAGTGCTAGAACTTAACTGTTTATTTAAATCACAGAATGCATGGCCTAAAATGCAATTACCGGTACCTAGAAGGTGCCTGCTTGCTAGCAAGAGGCAGTTTTGGAAGCATAAATTCACCCCAGTTTCTGAGGCAATGGATCAGTATATGATTGGCGAGGCAGTTAATATTCATTTTTCGAATCTGACACACACACCGAATAATAATTATTGGCGGTATTAAGACAATAAGAATCAGCGTAATATTCATAAACTTGCAGGTCTAGTATCGAAGGTTTAAATGTAAAATTTCTTCTTCAACAACAGAAATGCAAATCTTCAGAAGGTTTTTTTTTAAACCTTTGAATTTCCGCAGATGAAAAAGAGGGTTCTATGTGTAAACCTTCGAGAATAGTCCTGCAAATTTTCTAATATTGGGCTGATTTTTATTATCTTAACACCTTCAATAATGCATTTTTCGATTCTATAGAAAGAATCATTGTATGTTCCTGCAGAAGGCCAGATATGCTTCAGAAAATTTCAACAGCCATTCGACGGCATATGGTTCTAGCACAACAGGCACCAGTCGTGATAGAACAATTTCGAAAATGGATACCATTTTCACTTCCCCTATCTAGGCTCTCAACAATCACCTCTGCCTCGTCTCGATTTCATTTTGTAGAGACATTTAAAAAGCATCGTGAGACTTCTTTTAAATCCAATGCTGAATTATTTGCCATAATTTCTGTCGATGCTGCAGCTGTTAAGTATCTGGTATATTCGAAAACTATTGCCAATTTCTCTATCGCCGTTATATGTTAGCCTTTGGTGATTGATTTTTAGAGTAAATATTGTAATTATTATTGATTAAACTTGTGTTTGAATGGTCTGTATTGTTTCTTGCGTCTGCTCATCCTCCTTAGCTTTACCATCGAAAGCTTTCTAGCCTTTCTGCGTTTCATTTCGATTTTATAATCTCTAACCTACCCTTCCGCTGGAAAAAAATATTTTAATATGCTCTATTATTTAATAAAGTTGCAAGGAAGCTAGCTATTTTTAATGTTAATATCTAGCTTCTTGAAGGCAACCAAGCTACTTATCGCCCCACTCTAAACTTTCAGTAAAATAGCAGTGTTTCAGGAGGAAGTTTCCAACAAACATTTTATTTAGTTCTTCAGATTAACAATGTATACAGTTCGTGTGATAAGAAAGACTCCGCTGCTTGCGAGATCTACAGAGCACAAAAGTTAAATTAAAACTGAGGTATTTTAAATATGTCCACCTATAAGTTTTGTCTTTAATCAAGCGAGCAAACAAGGGCAGCAAAGGCTAAAGTCGATTCAAGTAAATTAAGCTGGGAAAATATCGCATCGAGACTGTCAGCTAAGGGTCAGTGTACACCAATTGTTTAACTACATGGGTATAGCCCTACTGCACTAACTATTTACCTCACAGCACACAGCAGGGCTCCACAAAAACCTACCGAGTACCTTGAAAAATGTTTTACAGTTGTTTTCTTTTCGCACTAACTAAAATTTAGTGCAGTTGGGGATTAACATATTTACAACAGTTTAAAACATGTGATGTCTTTTACACTTATAATATAGTTGTTTAGACAATATATCATATACTTACAAGAATTAATTTACAACAGTTAGTGTCTTTAACACTTTACACTTACAACTCTTCGATAATTCATAATCTGAATAAAACATTTATTTGTTACAAAATATTTGTACATAATATCCATCAGCGGTCGCTTGGGCACTGAAAAGACTTCGAATACTTGTGCCTTACATACTTACAGCAAATATTGAACAGTTGGTTCCTTTCGCACTTATACAAATATAGAACAGGTGGTGCCTTTGGAACTTACAAATTTTAGAAGAGTTGGTGTCTTTTGCATTTACAGTAATATAGAACAGTTGATGCCTTTCGCACTTATAAAAATTTACACTTACAAATCTTCAATAATTAATGTGCAATTTGAATAAAATATTTATTTTTTACGAAATATTTTTATACAATATAGTCAGTGGTCGCTGCCAAAAAAAAGTCACTCTCGAATTCAAGAGCTTTATTCTTATATATATTAGCTAATTTATATCCAGACAGGAGGCGGCGAAAGTAGAACTGATAGTAATATATATAACTCATCAGAATATAGGTAATAAGAAAACGAATTTATAAACACGAAGCCCTACAAAATTTCTCTCATCGTTTTTAGAACAGTCTATGCCTATATAAGAATTACATACAGTGAAAGACGCTACAAAGAGAAATATATAATAAAATCAAATTTAGTTTAATTTTATTAATTATTTATTGTTTCTGTTAATTAAATCTTTAACTTATTTAGAAATCTTAATGAACTAAAGAGAGCCAAATATATTTTTTTAATTTTATTAAATCATTCAGTTTATTTGTCTGAAATATGGATCTAAATAACATAATGCCTGAAACAATCGAAGCCAGATCAGCTGAAATGTATTTTACTGTGCTTATCATAACGCATTTTTAATATCGAACATATAACCATTAAATGTTAATCTTTCTTTATTTACAATTTTTCTAGTAACGTTTATTACTTTTTTAACTGTAAATAAAAAAAAAGTATTTATTATTGCTGGAGAATGTACAGGCATTTTTGTGAATGAAAGGTGTAATAATTGTTTAGTAATAAAAATTAGAGTAACACCTGCCATTTTATTTTTCTTACTAAGCTGACTTTTTAACCCAAAATTAAAGCTTATTTTATACACTCAGTCAATTTTGCATAACTCTGGTCATTTATTAAAACTTAATGTTAGCTAAACTGGGTTTATATTCGACCAGTTTACACATATTATAATGAACACGTTGCAGAATTTATGCTTTATCTAACTGTGCTACCAATTTAATTCTAGCAAGATGAGTTTCATAACCAGACGGAAACACACAAAAATTTAATCTTAGAGATTACTCATTATTCTTAAAAAAAAAAAAAAAAAAAATTAACCGTTATTACATTTTTTTAAAACTTTTTAAACACATTGAGTAGCCTGAACGAATGCGATATGGTGGAACCTCGAGATACGAGGTTTAATTCGTTCCAGCATTGAGCTCGTGTAGCGAATTTCTCGTATATAGAAACAAACTTCTCTATTGAAAATAATGGAACTCCAGTTAATCCGTTCCGCACCCCCCAAAGTATCAACATAAAAATCAATTTTTCTAATAAATAACACTAAATAATATAACCGTAGTTTATTTTTATGATAACTTCCGACGCCGGTTTTTAAACTGCTTCTCGTTAATCTGCACCAACAACAGCTATCTTCTAGGAGTTTTGGATGCTGCTTGGAAATAACGATAACTCCTTTGGCCTACATCAAGCTTCTTAATTTCTTCCCGATTCTTCAGAATAGTGCAAATTGTCGATATCGAAAGGCCGTAAGTCTTTGCCAATTCCGTCACTCTTAGATCACGCTTGTTTATCTATTTCTTTCTTAATGACCATGGCTTTCTTATTTTACTTTACAGCACTATCTGAGGCAACAATTTTCTTGGGAGGCATCTTGAAGTAATTATTTTCACTTTAAATCTAATCAACAATTGACTCCCAAGCACACAAATACGTAGATCAAAGAACGCCGAGTTATCTGACAAGGGGATTCCCCGAGTCGTGCCGGATCAGGAAATGGCGCCACGCATACCAACAGCCTGGCTCCTTGCTCGTTCCTCGAGTCAATGCTCATATTTAGAGACAACTGTTTCGCTCATACTGTCCTCGTATCTCGAATTTCTCATGTATAGAGGTGCTCGTATCTCGAGGTTTCACTGTATTAGTTTGTAAGGAATTCAAGGCATTCTTCTTTAATTTATGAATTCCTCTTTTAAGTGCGTATTCTGACTTTAATATCCCTTATGATACAATAATCAAGGCATCCAACTAAATATTGAAGAGATCCCAAATTCAGTTCTTACAGAAGGACCGTTATTATTGACTTCATTGAGTATACAGCAACGCAATCTATTCCACCAAAGGCGTGCTGCTGTTAACAGAATGCATATACTCGTAAAACGCATCTTTGCAAGACACATGACTTAATTATCGAAAAATGGTTGCCACACAAATAAAATGCAGAGTGTTATGGAAGGCCTCAGGCTATCTGGCTAAGAAAGAAGGTTTCTATTGCTTTTTAGTTACTAGGAGTATTAGTCATCCTAAGATGTGGTGCTCTTTCTATGGCCCAAGTAGGTTTCCGTAGAGTAGTTTCAACATTGACAAAGAGATACCAACCACGAGATAATACATTTCACCGCGCTTATTGCTGTGGCAATTTGAGCGATATTTTGATCTCCCCGAGCTTCCGTTTGCCCACTTATGAGCATAATCACTGAGATTATGTCTTAAAAGCATTCTACATTCAAAATATTTGCCGCAAAAGATAAAAATTTTTAGCTCAGTGTCCAGAAACATATAACATTACTGTCCTCTTAAATTTCACTGCTTGAAATTTGGCATTAAGTAAACAGATCACGTGCCCTGTCTTTCATACAAATAAGAGGCTTTGCCTTATAATGTACTCGACAACTTTAAATCGATGTTTCCTTAACAGTTGCCAAGCTCTGTAAAGATTGTTTCTAACATACTATTTAAAACGCTTTCAGGAGGATGTGGAAAAGCAGAACAGTTAGAGAAGCAATTAATTATATCAACGTGTACTATATTGTCAGCCTAGAATACATAAATTTCTACCAATTTCGCCTACCAGTGTCGAATGGCTGAAGCTGCAGAACTCTTCCGCGGAACTGTAGCAGAGTTTTACTATGGTTTCCTCGAAGGATCATGTAAATATAAGTCTTTTACTTTTTGAGGATTCTCCAAGAAGGTATTCCTTTTAGGCATGTAGCCTCCGGTTGTATTGTTTTAATGAGATAATTCAGTCCATTCCTATTGTGATCGCTTGTTTTATGATAGCTACAGAAATTGCATACAGTAAAAAATTGCTTTCCTGCAACTGCTTAACTATACGCAGTACTTAATTCTAATTTTTTTTAATTTATTCAATTCATTAGGCTGCTTAAGGAATACACCATTCAAGAAAGTATTGGCTCAATTTGCAATTGAATTGTGCTTCATTTGGGACATAATAATATAATTTTAGATTCATCATCCCAAAATCTATAAATTCGGTATAAATTTAAAAAAAAAACGTTTGAAAAGTTTGGATTTTACCACTCTGCGTATGACATACTTCTAAAAATTAACATTTCTATAAAAACTATTATACACTGTGTCTAAAAATGTCCTTACCCGGCCTCTATTTTCTCAACTGTTGGTAGCAGACATATATTTACAGTTACAAAACTGTTTAAAATGACACAATGAATGTTGTTTTGATATTTTCAAATTTAAAAAAATACATTTTATAAAAATTACGACATCTAACCTTTTATACGTGCCTTCGGTACATATGCTTAAGAAAATTTTCTGTTCATTATAAAAATAAAACACAAATGGTTTGTCAGCCGTATGACAAAAATATTCAATGTTAACGTCGAACATTCTATTCGGGGGTCGTTCACAGATTGAAGAGCAAAATGTTTGCATGTGTACGTAATTAAAAAGAAAATATCTGTTCAAGAAAAGGTTTCAGATGTTAAGAGATTATACTATTTATATATATGCGGCGAGCATTCTCTGCAGATTATTGTGAAAAGCATTGATTAGTATAATTTTTTTTTTTCCAAAATAGAGAACTTATTCCCGGAATCATAGGATTCGTATTCTAGAAAACACAGCTGGGTAGCACTTAACTAATTTCTAATAACATTTACATTAATTAAAAAAGGAAATATTTGAAGCTGAATGAGTTTTTACTAGATTATTATTATAAAGTAATAAAACTTCTTCAGAATATTAATAACGAATTTTCAGTCATTGAAAGTCTTTATATTACTCCTGATAAAACTCGTTTCGGCATACCAAATGCAAAAATTATAAATCAAAAGCATCACTAAATTATAAAAGTGTATCACTAAGGGACAATTGAGTAGCGAAAATCAACCTCGAATTATTCTAATTTATTTATTAACCGACCCCTCAATGCAAATTGAAAATGACGTCAGAAAAGCAAATTTTGAAATCAAAGCTCTCGGTCAATTTGTGTAGAATAGGAATCAAAACTATAGCATTCTTCTAAATATAAGTGTAGGAATCACAACGTGCAAAGTACTGGTTAGATTTCATGATTTTTAAAAACTGATTTTTTTAAAAATACAGTGGAACCTCGAGGTACGAGTTTAATTCGTTCCAGCATTGAATTCGTATAGCGAATTTCTTGTATCTAGAAACAAACTTCCTCATTAAAAATAATGGAAATCTAGTTAATCCGTTCCGCAGCCCCAAAAATCTTATTGCCATCACATCTTCAGTCGACGTACCTAGTGTTTTTCGGAGAAGGTCCAAGTACAGACTCTTAGCCTTAGCGCAAATGATAGCTTCCGACACCGAATCGCCTTTAACTGCTTTTCGTTAATCCACACCAAGAACAGCTTTTCAACATCTTTTTGGAGTTTTGGATGTTGCTTGGAAGTAACGGTCACGTCAACTTCCTTAATTTCTTCCTTCTTCTTCAGAATAGTGCATATCGTAGATGTCGAAAGGTCTCTTACACCACGCTTATGTTTATCTGTGATTTCTTTAATTTCAACGGCTATGGCTTTCTTCTTTTTCTTTACAGCACTATGTGAGGCAAAAGTCTTTTTGGGAGGCATAGTGAAGTAATTATTTTCACATTAAATGTAAAAAACAAGTATCTCCAAGCGCACAAACACGTAGATCAAAGAACTCTGAATGATCTGACGACGGTGTTCCCCGAGTCGAGCCGTACCGGGAAACGCGCCACGCATGCCAACAGCCTGGCTCGTTGTTCGTTACTCGAGTCAATGCTCGTATTTAGAGACGAATTTTTCGCTTATACTTTCCTGGTATCTCGAATTTCTCTTATATAGAGGTTCCACTGTATAGAAATACCGAAAGAAGAATCTTTCTGTCCTTTGAAATAGTTTTGTAACCAGAAGCTGCGACCAATAGTTGGTCAGGTAAAGGACCTGTGTGAACTTTCCGAAGCAGACTAAAAGCTGCTACTTGAAGAACGTTGAGAATGCGAAAAATTTTATATAATCTATAATAGACTGTAATTCGAGAAAGTACGTAAAGCCTCATGATAAATATATACATATATAAGAATAAAAAAATGTCTTATGCATATACCTATATAATTTAAAAGAAATATTAGAATAAAAATTATTTTGATGAAAGTCAAATTCGCTAGAATATACGACGCTGAGAAAGTGTTTATTACTACTGTGCTTTGACACATTGTTGCATTCTGCTCAGCTTGATTCAGAATTTGAACAGATTTAAATTCAAATCATAGTACTAGATGGCGCCACCATAGTACATAACCAAATAGTTAATAGTTTGGCTACCTGAGGACAAAAGTTGTTATTCGCTTTATTTTGCTTTCACAATTAATATTTGGCAATAGAAAAGCATGGAAAGGCATTTTTTAAAGTATTTCATGATTACTAAAATCTTGGAAAAAATTAAACAACAAAAAGAAAAACATTTTAAAAAGTAAAGTATAGAAGTTAGTAATTGTTTT